TAGCTGGAGGATCACAATGTAAACACATTTCACAGCTTTTGTAGCTTCCTATATTTTTGTATTTGTGTTCTTCACTTCGGTCATACTTGCGCCGCGCAAAAATGGAAAACTGATTTCGAAACAGCTGAATGTTTTATATACGGCATTGCTATCCGGTTTCTATGATATTTTACCGCGCAAAAAAATTGTTTCGGAATTTTTACTATTTTCCGGCGAAAAAAACTGTAATTTTGGGGTGGGTTTCTAACTGACCAAGAACTTAATAAAAGCCAGTGCCTACTAGTATTCTCTGTGTTAGCGCAGTGGAAATAGACATTTGTTTAGGTTTACGTTTGACAAAAACACAAAAAATAAAATTGTGATCTTAGTTAAAATTATAAGTTATGTATTCTTCTGATTTTAGTGCCTCCAGTGGCTCAGCGATAAGTCTGAGGGTTTACAACGCTAAAATTTAGGTTTCGATACCTACAGTGGATAAAGCACAGATAGCCTATCGTGTAGTATTTATACTTTACAACAAACAAACAAATGTAACGAAATACATAAAGTGTAGACATCCTCTGGTAGAAGTACACTAAATAATAGCAGATAAGAATTAATTTTACTAGCACTGTAAAACAAAACACAGATTATCAAATGTTCCTTAAAAAATAACTAAACATAAACTGTTCATCGCTCATGCAGCATATTCAATAGGCTTTAATAAAAATGTTTTTTATTTTACTTTAAAACGTTTAATCTAAGGATCAAAGAAGATGCAGTTCTACTTCCAAGGTACTGTGTAATATGTATATAATATGGCATGAATGATGGGTTAGTACATAATGAATAGCTGGTTGAATAAGATGAATGGAATTGTTTTATTATAATAAGGTGGATTATCTTCAAATGTCTTAAACTATGAATGAAAGAAGCCCTCAATAAATACGTTTTTACAGTTGGGCGAGAAGGTTACAAGTTTGAGATTAATTCCTAACTAGTGACTGTCCGTCCGATTGAGGGAATCTGCTACAAGACAGATCAATTATCAACTAGTGACTGTCCGCTCAGTTGTGTGAGTCTACAATATGTTGAAATAAATTACTAACTAGTGACTGTCCGCGCAATGGAGTTAGTCTGCTACAAGGCTGATATCAGTTACTAGCTAGTGATTGTCCGCCCAATTGTGTGAGTCTACTACAAGTTGAGATAAATTACTAACTAATGATTCTCCGCCAAATGGAGTTAGTTTGCTACAAGACTGAGATCAGTTACTTACTAATGAATATTGATTATGCAATTAATTTATTGAAGCTGCTACAACACTGCGACCAGTGATTAATGATTATCAAAAAAATATATACAAATCTTTTTCTTCTCAATTCTATTTTAATCTTTCAAAACACAGATATGTTGGTAGTTATTAAGTGAAATTTCACCAAAATTAAAAAATTAGAATGAGCACAACTTGCATAAAAAAACATTGTAAATAAGCTAATCTCTTGATTACAGTTTACCACTTATTGTTGCATAAAACAACATTGTGAATAAACTAATCTCTTGATTCCAGTTTCACACTTATTGTTGCATAAAACAACATTGTAAATAAGCTAATCTCTTGATTCCAGTTTACCACTTATTGTTGCATAAAACAACATTGTAAGTAAGCTTATCTCTTGATTCCAGTTTACCACTTATTGTTGCATAAAACAACATTGGGAATAAGCTAATCTCTTGATTCCAGTTTACCACTTATTGTTGCATAAAACAACATTGTGAGTAAACTAATCTCTTGATTTCAGTTTAGCACTTATTGTTGCATAAAACAACATTGTGAATAAACTAATCTCTTGATTCCAATTTGCCACTTATTGTTGCATAAAACAACATTGTGAATAAACTAATCTCTTGATTCCAATTTGCCAC